GTATATATTTATATACAGGGTGTTCCGTGCTGCAAGGGGATGATGCTTTAAACGAATTCATTCTAACGAATACTGGTCAATTTTTTATTTCATTGATTAATTTTTAATCTGACAATAATATGGTAGTAAGTACTATGGTACAATATGAGACAACAAAATGGAAGGGAAATATTTAGAAGATATTTAGAAGTAATTTGTGAAATCAAAGTTAAATTTTTGTAGTATTATTTAAATTCATGCAATAAAAGTATTATCTCAGTTTTATTGAATATTTAAATATGTATTAAACACAGAAGAATATTTAGATATTAAATATGATACTCCAGTCTTTTGTCACGTTTCTTATCATTTTTTAACCCCCTTACAATGAAATTCATAACGATTACGAAAATGGAAGTTAATTTTGTATATGTGTCAACCTAAAATATGCAAAATAGGAGAAAGGTATTTTTCCAGTAATTACAAGTTGGAATAACTGAAGCCACCATAGGAGGGTTAGTCATGGCGTATCGAATCAGTGACAACAAGAGGGACGAGAGTACTAAAATGAAGCTCTAGTATCGATTTTCCCTAAGCTTGCCACACATTGAACCAAAGCATAGCATTTCCAGTACCTTTACATCTGATTGTTTTGAATATTGTATTACTTTGTGTTCTAAAACATGAAACATTGTTTTAAAAGTTTCTTCATTAAATAGATACGAATTGACCCTCGTTAACGAAGAGACTATAACCACATTAATTATGAGTATTAAAACTACTGATAATTATCACGACTATTTTTCCTCGAGATATATATCTATTTGGTTACAGAGGGTGATATGGTGATTATGTTTGTACGAAGAATTCATTCTTCTCACGTCTATGAATTTATTAGTATCGGGTGGGTGGTTATGATAAAATGATAATATTGTTATGGTTCGTAAGCGATTATCTTCTTCATTAACGAGGATTAATGGTTTATGACCATTTGATTGAATTTTTATTACAATCTGTTGGAAGATTGTTGAAAAAATTTATTGATAAAGAATTGATAAATTTGATTTAATTCAAGATTAATAAATTATTTTTCTTAATAAATATTTACAAGTTAATTTCAATTTTAATATATTAATTTCTTCCTTTAAAAATTTCTTAAGTGGTCACGAACTATTAACCCCTGTTAACGAAGAAGACTATTATACTTCCATCAAGGTGCCAATGTCGGTCTTAAGAAGTTCACAATTAAATTGTCACGAACTGTTAACTCTCGTTAACAAAGACATCACTACGATTTAATAGAGACTATAAATAAAAATTGTAATCAGTTCAGATTTTCCACAGAATACAAATTAACCCTTGTAAAAGTCATCGCGCGAAATTACACCCCACAGAAAAATGTAACCGTATACTACGCATCTACTTCTCAATATAGTTACCTTTTATTACCATCATTAAATTCAGAAATAAAAGAAAATCACTGAAGTTTCGCCCGTTTCCTCCGCCAGTTAAAATTCTCAATTAACTAGTCACGAACTGTTAACCCCCGTTAACGAAGAAGACACTCGTCGCAAAACCACATAAACAATCGTATAGCTACCATAATCACCCAGTCAACGTTAATAAATTCTATTGTACTGAACGCGAGGAAAATGAATTACTCACACAGATATCACCAGGATGACACCGTCTGCAACCGGTAGATGCACCTCCCGAGGGAAACACGTTGGCCGCGATAAAAATAAAGCTCGGCCAGGGATGCGGAAATTCCTGAACGTGGTAGAACGTTACATCAAAAGTTACGGACGTGTTACACGAAATCGCGTGACTGTTTCTCGAGGTGAAACGGAAGGCGTGCTGGTTGCACCGACGTGCAGACAGATGGGAGTGGTCTCCGCAATCACGATGGGCGTGGTGCTTTCAGAACGTGTTGCAGCTGCACCCTACATTGCAGTTTGTGTGCATTGCATTTGCATTTGAACGTCGCGTTGTGGCGAATCGCATGACGCGACGCGAAATTTATTCCCCTTGGACATTCCGTTCGATGGTGACAACTTTTCTTGAATGGCGGGATCAAGTCATTTTTTGACGTTAATACAAGGAAAGAATGCATATAAATCTGATTGGATGTTATACCTATAACGATACATTTACCACAATCATTGTAGTGTTTGCTAATTTATTGATGAAAAAAGTTTGTGTATTTTTATTAATTTCACATTGTGCTCACGTTGGTTCTCTAAGGTCTTCTAGTTTCATAAATTAGTGTTATATTTTTCGATTTCAGTCATTTTAGTATACTTTATTTTTTAACTAAGTTAGAGAAGATTTGGAGATTATTGGTTATACCCAGCAGAAATTCTTCATTTCTTATAAACAGTATTTTACTGAAACAGTTTAACATATTGTAGGTACAAAAATATGTATACAAAAAGAATTTACTGCTATCCCACGTTTCACATTAGAACTCATATGAGTAAATCAAAAGTATACAAATTTTATTCCGTATAAGCAATTACGATTATATTGTGTCTGACTACATACGACCACTTTTACTGTGACAGTCAAGATGTTATGCTTTCAATAAGCCAACTTATACATGCGTATTACTACCTAATTTCTTTCCTCTTTCTTCACATAATTATTCAAACATATCAAAATCAATGTACGAATCATTCAACTACCTCTATAGCTCTATTTTGACATTAATATCGCAAAATCAATAACCTAAATGATCATGGAAAAGATATTAACTGATCATGAGAATATTTGAAACAATGCTTATTATTACGTGCATGTGAAACTATCAATTGTTTCCTTTCAACGAAACATATCATTTGTTAAAAATTTTCCTGATCCCGCTTCTGTCTGAAATTCTTCCTGGACTTCTTTCACCTCTTCTAATGTCCGGCGAAGGGAGAAGCTTTCCCGTCTCTTATATAATTCGACGTCGGGGCAGCGAGAATCGAAAGCGGCCCTTTTTGCAAAGACGTCGCCCGAGCACCTCTGTCGAGCGGTGAGCGAAATGTTTTACGGCCTAGCCGTGGCTTTTTGTCGTCGGCATCGATGATTTCGGTGGGAGAACAACGAAGAAACGGGGCCCGAGCGTGGCAGCACTATATCGGCCCGCGGGCCTCCATTAAGCTCTTATTAATTGCGAGCATCTGAGGGGCCGACCGACCTTTCTTGCGCTACCTGCGCGCCATTCTGCCTCCGCTCCTTCTGCCGCCGATACAAACGCCGTCCACGATGTTGCTCGGCCTTCCAACTTTGATGTCGAGACGATCCTCTTCACGAGATTTATCATGTAAATCGCGAGTAAAAAGTTCGCGTACCATTCCTTGCAACTTCGTCCGCGTCCTTTTTTTCCCGCGTTTTAGATCAGCGTCGAGAATCGCGCGGGAAACAAGGGGAATAATCGACGATCGCGTATGTACCATTAGTTCAGAAGCATGAGCTTAGGTTTTTACTACGTTCTTCATAAGTGGAATCAATTTCTAACTTCGTTTGAGAATTAAATATATTCTCAAGTTTAAGAATTTGCAAATACCTAATTCTAAAATATTCAAGCTTTTAAATTATGAAGTAATTTTTAATTTCACAAAATATTTCCAAGTCATAAATTTTGTAATTCTGAAGAGACAAACACTTAGATGCTCAAATTGACTAATTTCAAGTACACCAAATATTTAAATTCCTGTATTTCCAAATACATCAAAACTAATTCTCCATAACCTCTTTACAACCGCTTTGCAAATTTATAAATCCTCAAGTTCTCAAACTACCAAATATCTCTCCTGATGCTTTAAATGATTATTGTACAGGTAATCAGTGGGTTAATCATCAAATCCACCATTCATAAAAAATATGCAAATGTATGCAATGATCAAACGATGAGTATCCACAAGTATGGAGCGTGTTTTCGCGAGGAGTTTCGATTGAACCCTCGAGTTTCTACTCACCAGAGAGGGGTGCGTAAGGGCCATGGGGGTAAGGGGGTGCGGAGGACGCGTCGACGAGCGACTGCGACGGCGTCGCCGACGGCCAGTCCTTGTAGGAAGCCGCGGGGTGTGCATGGTGTGCCGCATGGTGGGACGTATGGTGGCTGAGTCCTCGCGCACCACCCAACAGCAGACCACCGTAACTCGTTACGGCCGCCATGTTATGATGGTGATACTCGTGCACAGCCCTGCAACAACCATGCTCTTATTAATTGCGAGCATCTGAGGGGCCGACCGACCTTTCTTGCGCTACCTGCGCGCCATTCTGCCTCCGCTCCTTCTGCCGCCGATACAAACGCCGTCCACGATGTTGCTCGGCCTTCCAACTTTGATGTCGAGACGATCCTCTTCACGAGATTTATCATGTAAATCGCGAGTAAAAAGTTCGCGTACCATTCCTTGCAACTTCGTCCGCGTCCTTTTTTTCCCGCGTTTTAGATCAGCGTCGAGAATCGCGCGGGAAACAAGGGGAATAATCGACGATCGCGTATGTACCATTAGTTCAGAAGCATGAGCTTAGGTTTTTACTACGTTCTTCATAAGTGGAATCAATTTCTAACTTCGTTTGAGAATTAAATATATTCTCAAGTTTAAGAATTTGCAAATACCTAATTCTAAAATATTCAAGCTTTTAAATTATGAAGTAATTTTTAATTTCACAAAATATTTCCAAGTCATAAATTTTGTAATTCTGAAGAGACAAACACTTAGATGCTCAAATTGACTAATTTCAAGTACACCAAATATTTAAATTCCTGTATTTCCAAATACATCAAAACTAATTCTCCATAACCTCTTTACAACCGCTTTGCAAATTTATAAATCCTCAAGTTCTCAAACTACCAAATATCTCTCCTGATGCTTTAAATGATTATTGTACAGGTAATCAGTGGGTTAATCATCAAATCCACCATTCATAAAAAATATGCAAATGTATGCAATGATCAAACGATGAGTATCCACAAGTATGGAGCGTGTTTTCGCGAGGAGTTTCGATTGAACCCTCGAGTTTCTACTCACCAGAGAGGGGTGCGTAAGGGCCATGGGGGTAAGGGGGTGCGGAGGACGCGTCGACGAGCGACTGCGACGGCGTCGCCGACGGCCAGTCCTTGTAGGAAGCCGCGGGGTGTGCATGGTGTGCCGCATGGTGGGACGTATGGTGGCTGAGTCCTCGCGCACCACCCAACAGCAGACCACCGTAACTCGTTACGGCCGCCATGTTATGATGGTGATACTCGTGCACAGCCCTGCAACAACCATAAAATCGCCGATTTAATTTCTATGATTCTTTTCGGCAATCGCTACAAACTAATTATTACTGAACTGCTAAGACAAATGAAGGTGGATGTTAGATGGATCTTTGATTGCTCAAATTATAATTGATATATCGACACTGGATTTAGGATTTAGATTTCTCACATTTGAACCGCGATGCGCGCCAGGTGTCGGATTCGATGTTATAAGCTAAGGGGTTAACCCATTACAGACTTATCAACTTCGCTCCCTGTTCGATCGCGAAACTTGGGAACAACGCGAAGACTTGTTCAAAGGGGACGGAAAAAAAAGTACGGAGAAAATGAGAGGGAGAAAAGAGTGGTGGCAAGAAAGAAAAGGAGAAGAAGAATCCTCGATATCGTGGTTCTTTTCAAGAACGGTGACAGACTGGTAATTTATACGGCGACCGACGCAACATCAGCGCTAAAGATCTCTCGACCGGGGGTACCTGCTCCCGACGGTTTTCTGTATTTTTCACGTCTCGTTTTCTCTTTGCCTTCACTCTCTCTCTCCCTCTTTTGCTTCTCTTTTTCTCCATGTAACTTTTTGTACGCTTTAATTTACCCCTCCCGTTCTTTACCACAACCGACTGCCTCTCTCTTTCCTCGATTTCTCGTGATTTTTCTCCCATCTTTTGTCCCTTTTTCAGAAAGGTTCCCTCCTCTAACAGATCTCCGCTCCTCCGCTCGCTTCAAGCCCCATGGCGAGCCGCAACATTCGTTTCTGACGGTTTATCCCGGCAGGCTATCGCGTAATGAGCGTGTCGCGCCTGCCGGAGGTGGATTTTTGGAATGCGTGAAACATTGGCCGCATTATCGTCCGTTAATTGAACGAACGACGCTCTCGACGATTCCGTCGATTAATCACCGCCTGGTTTTGCGCGCGAGCTTTACGTCGCCCGCGAGAAACCAGGTTGAATTTAAAATGGAGCGCGATACGCCCGGCACTGCCGGAACGAATGGATGGGATTCTTCGGAGGGATCCATCTAATTAATGGCTACGTGTCGCTGATGCGTTTATATTGCCGTGAATTAGGCAGCTTAAAACGTGGATTATGTAGACATCGATTAAGTGTAAAAAGATTAAGAAACTGGTTTTGGACTCTGTGTGGACGGAGCGGATTATGCTGTGATTAGGCGATGTCACCATTTGGCTACTATCAAATGTTATTTTAAATTCTTAAATTTTCGAGATAGCAAGATATTAATTTTTCCAATGCTGAAATGTCCAAAACCTCAACTTTAAATCTTTAAATACACGAGTTTCAAAATCCCCAAATTCTCAAATCCCTCAATCCTCAAATCCCTCATTCCTCAAATCCCTCAATCCTCAAATCTTCAAATCCTTGAATCTCCAAATTTCTGAATTTTCAAATTTCCCAAAATTTACCTAAGCCTCGAAATTCCAATTTCTTAAATCCCCAAATCTCCAAATTCTTAACTTTGTAAATCTCTAATTTCCCAAATCTTACAAATTCCATAAGACCTCTTTCCAAAATTGAAAAGACCCCAATCTCCAATCGATCAGTTTTTATCACAACGTGCTAATAAAACCTCCCCGATAAGCTCTACCATAAACCATCAAAAGTTTCCTCTAAAACCCGTCAGAGATTATCAAAAGGAGTGTCATTGTACACATCGAAAAATATTTTAAGTATAACACAAGGAATGTCAGGAACGCTCACCTGTGGTGATACTGTGAATAATGCGGATGCCACGGGTCCGTTGGATACTCGTAGACCTCGCCAGGATGTTGACTGTTCCAGATTTGGAATGCGTGAAACATTGGCCGCATTATCGTCCGTTAATTGAACGAACGACGCTCTCGACGATTCCGTCGATTAATCACCGCCTGGTTTTGCGCGCGAGCTTTACGTCGCCCGCGAGAAACCAGGTTGAATTTAAAATGGAGCGCGATACGCCCGGCACTGCCGGAACGAATGGATGGGATTCTTCGGAGGGATCCATCTAATTAATGGCTACGTGTCGCTGATGCGTTTATATTGCCGTGAATTAGGCAGCTTAAAACGTGGATTATGTAGACATCGATTAAGTGTAAAAAGATTAAGAAACTGGTTTTGGACTCTGTGTGGACGGAGCGGATTATGCTGTGATTAGGCGATGTCACCATTTGGCTACTATCAAATGTTATTTTAAATTCTTAAATTTTCGAGATAGCAAGATATTAATTTTTCCAATGCTGAAATGTCCAAAACCTCAACTTTAAATCTTTAAATACACGAGTTTCAAAATCCCCAAATTCTCAAATCCCTCAATCCTCAAATCCCTCATTCCTCAAATCCCTCAATCCTCAAATCTTCAAATCCTTGAATCTCCAAATTTCTGAATTTTCAAATTTCCCAAAATTTACCTAAGCCTCGAAATTCCAATTTCTTAAATCCCCAAATCTCCAAATTCTTAACTTTGTAAATCTCTAATTTCCCAAATCTTACAAATTCCATAAGACCTCTTTCCAAAATTGAAAAGACCCCAATCTCCAATCGATCAGTTTTTATCACAACGTGCTAATAAAACCTCCCCGATAAGCTCTACCATAAACCATCAAAAGTTTCCTCTAAAACCCGTCAGAGATTATCAAAAGGAGTGTCATTGTACACATCGAAAAATATTTTAAGTATAACACAAGGAATGTCAGGAACGCTCACCTGTGGTGATACTGTGAATAATGCGGATGCCACGGGTCCGTTGGATACTCGTAGACCTCGCCAGGATGTTGACTGTTCCAGAAGGAAGCAGGGAAGTTCCTCATGGACATAGGGGAAATGTTTTCTGTAACAAAACAACGGGAACTTTTCAGTAATACTTTAAACGCTCGTTTAAATGATTCTCTTTTAAAATTAACATGATATAAAGGATCATCGTCTCATAGCATCGCGCATTGCGTACATATCAAGTTGGACATTTATGAACGTTACAAGTTTTATATCATCATCATTTATGCAAATTATTGAAGCATCGCGATAGTAGCTTTTATAGCGCATTTAATCTTTTCTGTATAAAGACATAGCATAGAATACTTGAGGACTTAATTCTTTCACACACTTCGTGTACAGAATATTATCCTTTCAGGGTATTTAAACGTCTATTGTTCTTCATCTTCCGCAAGTTTTTTCAACAAAATTTCCAAATACGTTTAAATCATTTCATACAGCCGTCATAATTTTTCCGTAATGTACTTATATGTCGTCACTTCTCTTCAGGTTTTCAAATTTAAATTTCTTTTGATAAGTTAGCACATTTACTATCGCGTTAGTCATCGGTAATACAAAATGAAGGGTATAGTGTTAATTAATCTATGCAGATATTTTCAAATTCAGAAAGGAGGTGAAGTTCAACAGTGTTTAATAAAATCGACTAATAAACTTGCCAGAATTTAACAAATAGTATTTAATAAAGAAGTTAGTATCTAACCAGTATTTAATAAAAATAATAGAATCGGTATTTAATGAAGAATGCTATTTAATAAAAACAACAGATATCTATCATCTAATAAAGAAAAGCAATCCATAATTCTATAGAATCCTTGATAAAAGAGCTGCCGGGTATGATTCATAGGTGTGATCGATTGACGATCGATTACTCCACCATGAATCGCATTAATTTCGCTGGAAGGAGAACCGTTCGGTCGGAACGGGAATGTTTATTAAAATATTTGTATCGTTTCCCACGGGCCAGCACGCGATTCTTTCGAGGGCCCACGATAAACGAGTAGCCGGATCCCACGGGATCGAACCGCGCGACAGAAAGGTACCGCTCGGTTGTTTTACAAGCGACCACTCCAAAGCCAGAAGCTTGTCGTGTATCCTCCCGCGAGTCCTCGGGTCCTTGGTCCTGGGATTCCTTTTTCCCTCTCGAAACTCTTTCGGCCAATCCAACACACATATTCGAAGGTTGAACCAACGAGGTCGGACCAGCCAACGATTTATACTTCTAATTCCTTCTCTTCCTCGATTTCATCTCCGCCACCATCGGATGTTCATCGCTGTGCCATGGAAACCATGTTGGCTAATTTATGTCGAGCTCACGAAAGTTGATTGTTCGACGTTGTGATATCAGACAATAGATTATGAATACTTTTATACACATTACTAATCTGTTACAGTTGAGAAAAACGTAATTCTACGTGAGAAAGTAAGTTTTTTCATATGTGGCTTCGCTTTTGAGAAAATTATAAGTTTTACAAGGAGGGAGTACATTTTTATTCGATAAAGAATTAACAATTCGTTAAATCTCGAACAAAATTGAGTAATTACGATTTCAAAGAAATTTCATAATAAACGTGTGTATGATACAACCGTCCCACATTTTGAAATCCATTATAAAATAAGAAGTACATTAAGAAGTCCATTGAAAAAAGTAAGTCCGTAATAATATTCATTAAGAATAAATTATAAAGAATTTATAAAGGAGAAGTAAATCCTGTATCGTATTAAAAGTTTTTTTGAATGGCCAAAATATTCGTGCGATTGATATTCCCTGGTTCAATCCGAAAGATAACCAATTCAAGTTTCGCTACGACCACAGCTTCCTGAAGATCTCTTTATTTCCGTTGTAGTTCGCATCTGCACGAAAGAGATCCGACAATTCGAATCCTCCGGGCAATCTGGTGTCCTCGAGGGTCCCGGACCGATACTGTAATCCGATTGGGTATCGGGTCGTCCCGGTAACAACTGACCCGCGACACTTGGGGCATAAAGAAGCCCATGGGGCCGCATTGTTTCCCACGCGCGGAATGCCGAATGGAAGAAGCAAAAGGGTGCTCGTTCTTTGCGAGCGTGTAAAATATACTTTCCTGTTGATGCAGAGTCGCCGAATGGCCGCAGATTGGCCGTGCGGCATCATCCTCCTACACAAGTATCAAGAAAGATTGACTAACTATCGCGTTAAATATTGCGATTTGCTTACGAAGAAGATGCGAGATAACGAATGGAACCGGCCTCCAAGCTTTCGTCCTTCGTTCCGCGTCCTTCGTCCTTCCTCCAACCCTTGTCCCTCTTCCACCTTATTCCTTTACCGCCCTCCCTTTCCTCCTTCTTCTCTAACCACCTCCTGTCTCTCCGGACCCGACTCACCAGCCGACTGTCCTTTATTTATTAACGCAATTAAAGAAACAGAGTGTCGAGCGTCCACGGCCGGCTTTCTACTGTGCCGATGCCGCGGACCGGCTGCACAACGGAGAGCCAAAGGGAGAGCAAAGGCTCGATTCTATGCGGCTCTGACGAAAAGGGTTGTCGATTGCCAACTTCTCGTTGCTAACTTTTGATTTGCCAAAAGTAATACTCCAAATCTCCAAGTCTAAAGCTTTCTCTAGATTCACAAATGAACTTTCAAATGTCAAATTCACATATTTCCACATTTCTAATATTCCAGACATTTAAGTCTTGCAACCTCCATTTTTCAGGTATCCACATTTTTATACTTGAAAATTTATCATTCGAAAATCAACAAATGGTTCATTGGCAAATACCTTAAGACCCTAATTCCAATGTCTTTAAATTTCACAAATTTCTAAATCCTCAAATCTGAACCTCAAAATTTTCATACCATCCACATCTTGCTCCAAAATTTTCAAATATTGATTTTCTGAATTTCCCAATCTCCAAACGCACAGTTCATAAATTTCTAAATGTCCAACAGTATACGAGTTCGCGAATCTAAAAATCGATGAGTGAAAGACCTGTTCCTTTCCATATTTTCCTCCGGTAAGAGTTGTGCAAAGCCCCAAACAAGGCGAGGCTCATTAATTCTTTCGAGTTCATTCATTTTCCGCAGTGGTGCAGCAATGATTCACTTTTAGCCGTTCAGAACCGGGAACACCGATCGCTCGGCCGCGTACGCGATACCCCGATACAAATGTAGTCGGTAAATCTTCGCTGCTTGCAGCGGTCGGTGTGTTTCATTTCTCTGAGCCGTCGGAAAATAATCGACTGACACGAGCCGGATGAGTTTCTCGCGTCGTGGTGCTCGGCGTCGACGCGTGGCGTTGGCAACGTGCCAGGAGGTGCCTCTATAAAGACGTCGAGCGTCGCGGTGCCGCGATTCGTCAAAACGTAACCCACAGCAGATTGATGTGGCGGTGCGACCGGATGGCTCGTTATTCTGATTGCGAACCTCACACAGCCGGCTATGGCCAAAGAAACGACACCCCCTGGACAGGGATTAAGATCGTGGCGAAAACTAATGACGCGTTCCGGTCTATTTTCGATCTGTAGAATCTGTTGATCTGCTCGACATCATCGTTTCTGGATGCTAAATCGCACGTTTTGATCAAATTTTACGATGTGAAGAGAGGAATGTTACCAATAGCGACCACGTCTCTGGTGACCGGAATTGCGTTTTAACCCTTTGCACTCGAGATCTTTTTTACTGGGAAACTTCATAAATTTTTTATAGCTAATTTACAATAATTTTTCATATACCAGTTAACAAGACGTTAGAATATTTTATCCTCATATGACAAGGAAGCAAAGTTGCATAAGCTCTGTACTTTATCAATGTGTTACTTTATGAAACAATCTCAACTGGTCAACCAAAGTTTACACACTTCAATATAAAACACGTTAAAATTTCCCTTTATATCTTCCTAGATAAAGAAGATTCAAAATTCTCTTTCCACATCCTCAAAATCGTTAAGTTATTCAAAACCTAACTTAACTTGCTATTAACCATGTTGAAGGCGTTTTCGAAGTCTTTGTCGTCATTCTTTCGACCACGACAGAACAATGCAAATAACTTTGAACCTTACACCATAGTTATTTTTACGATGAAACGTCGCGCCATCGTTACACATATAATGTTAACTACGAGTGTATTTCGTTATGCATCGGTCACCTTCGCGACGGCGTTAAATAAAGAAGAGAAGAAGAATAAGCTAGTGGCGGCGTCGCATGCTGAAAAATAGCGCGCGTTTATCAGCATGGTACCGTTCAAAGGGTTAATTCGGAACGTCCGCCAAGCGGATCAGAAGCGAGGGATCGAGCGATCGTGGCGGGCACTCGTCGCTCTGTTGAGAATACGACGTCAAGAACGGCGGTAACGTTGAGTTCGGGAAATTGAGCGCGTCGTTCCAGTCGGTGGCGTCAAATTAACGCCCCGTTCGCCAGCATCGCGACGCAACAGAGACGCAATTACTTGACATGGCCCTTACACGACGCCGCGTCGCGTTGTGGCGTCTTCAAAGAGGGCTGCCGCGAGATTAGCCGCGATACCGTCTTCGGTCTGTGCTCGTGCTTTTTCACCGCGCTTACATGCTCTCTCGTAACCGGGTATCACACGGATGAAAATTGCCGTGTAATCTATGACAGGACGCAATTTACCGTGCCGTAATTGAGAACGTCGCGACGTGCACGTATCTATCGGTCGTTCGCGAGTTCGTTCAATTTTACGCTATTAACGGGGCAATTTCGTTAATTGCCGGCCAATGAAGACCGTTTTACGGAGAATCTGTCGCGTCGAGACGTCGATTCGGATAATTGATTGTACATGAAGCGTGTAATAGAAATCTCGTTTCAGATGTTAGAACAAATTAAATAAGAATATATTAATGTATCAATTGCACACTGATGCAATTAGATACTAATTTATTAAAGTACGCGTTTGTTGGGAAATTTTGTTTCATAATTTTTCTGTTAGATTCAACAACCGGGCAGTTACCCGGACCTGTTAATTTAATTTACGCTTTTCTTCTCATTTTGAACGGATATTTCTGATCGGTGATCGCCTCTTTGCCCTATCATGTGGCGTCTTTTGACTCATTAGCCGCTGAAATATATTATCGGCAGCAAGCATACTGGGCTAATAACGTCTTTAGCGTGGTCGCTACGGACTTGGATAATTGATAACACGAAGGGGAGTTAACGTGATTAAAGGGGTTCGCGTATAACCGATCTAGGAACACGGCATCGCTTTGATGTAGCTTCGGTCCCGCTTGATAAGTGCTCTATGCATTGATAACCGTAACTTCGTTTTTCTGTGTTGGAACTGGATTTGATTAGGCTCTTGATGGGGCTGATTTAGTTTCGTACGTCTTTGCCAATGCCGCAAAGCATTTCATGGTGGGAAAATAAGGTACAGCAGGTTTTTGGTACCGTTGTCGCTGCCGACGTTGTCTAGCATCGCTGTTGTACTGACATTGTCATCATTGTCACGAATCAGGAAAATTAATTGCTCTCTACTCGAGTTCCTGTACGAGTATGTTCTTGCAAGATCCATAATGACAACTCGAAAATCGTCAATTTTTCGTTGCCACCTTTTTTGGAATTATGTCGTCATTTAAATACGCGTGTGAGACTTCACAGAATCGAAAGGGTTAATAACACGAGGTAACGCAGTAGTTCGAAAATTGTGGCGAACAGGCGCGAGCACGTGTCGACTGAACAATTCGCAACCCTTATCGGAGGTTTCCCCCCAGATCTTGCTGGGAGGGTGTCTTTGTCCCATACGGGTGGAAACGCGTACACCCGTGGAGACGTTCACTCCTTGTACGTAGGTTAGTCGGCATACCGCGGCTAAAACTGTCTCCGCCGGTGTCTTCTCGTTCCGTTCCTCCTCCCTTTCTTTCTCTTTCACCTCCAACCGCCCCTCTACCGGTCTGTTCGTTTCTGTTCTCCCTGAGTCAGCGTGCATCTCGTAGGCCGGGAACAGAAGCTCTTAATTTACCTTTCCTACGCCGAGGAAGCGTGGTCCCCGATGAAACGAAGCAGCGCGGGGATGAAGAGAAAGCTGGTGGAGAAGAGGTAGATGAGGATGCCAAAGGGACGCAAGGAGAGCGGCACGGCACATAACAATTAGGTCGTGTTGTCTTGAATTCTAAGCAGGCTAGTGAACTGATCCTGAGCACTGCCGCGAGATAAATGCGGCCTTAAACGATACCGATATAGACGGGCTGCTACGCCGATCGCTTGCCAAACCCGCTTCAACCGACAACCCCCTACCCCATTCTTGGCCTTTCTCGTTAACCGGTCGTTTCTTTCGGCAACGGGCCTTCAACGGGATCATTCGATCCATCCTCGTCTATCCAGCCCCGTTCGATTCCTTTTCTGGAGGATATGAATGTTTCTTTCTTGCTGCTTCTTACCGTGTCGCCGATATCGTTACCTGCAGTTTATTCTTTCAGATGTGTAGCATGAATTTTGATCGTACGCTGCCGAGCGTTATAAATACAGGTATCTGCTTCTTCTGACGAGTTATTTACCGGCTATACCTTTATGAACGATTGCATTTCCATTTATGTAGATATCGGTTGAACCGTGGATGCCAGGAGATTGCGACAATTCCAATTTTAGGATTGACATTTATTTTTGGGGGTATATAATCAAAAATAGGAAGGTTTTTCGAAATTTCCGATTATATTTAAGGTTACTATTAAATAGTATTTCGTTAAATGGTCTTTTTAGCGAACAATATCAAGAAGCTTTATATTTTATAGAAATTACAATATTCATTTTGAAACATGAGAACAGTATTCAAAAATACCTGTCAACACTTGTATACTAAATCCTATACGTCATTCAAACTACAGGTCACATAAACGTATAGTCCAAGATGTCATTCCGTAAAAAAATGTCCAGTAGACACATGTCTCCGTTGGAAGTTTTGTTCTAACTCTCGTTTTCATTTTACTCCTTCATTTCCATCTGTTATTTTTTTCTCGCCCCTGTCTCAGGCACAACTTCCACTTCTTCTTCTTCGTCTCTTTCCCCAAGCGGACAGCGAGGGTTTTAAGCCTCCAAGTACGACAACGACGGTACAATTGTTACGTGGCTTGTTAGGGTTGTCGCGGCCTAATGGCGCACTTTATTATCGGTCTCTGTTGGCTCCGCGTTGCAACAGTGAATGCGTTTAAATCACCGCCCTTTGATGCATTAGCCCCGATTTTGGTCCAGGTCCCGATTCTGTTTCTGGTTCTGTCCAGTCTTTGACATTGGTGTTCGATATACGAAGTTGTAGCAAACTGTAGCCATGTTTTTTTTCATTTCAGCAATTTTAGCTATTGTGTGATGAATTACTTCAAACTTTTATTGTGAACCATTCATGAAAACATATTTTGTTGTCGATACACAGATAGATAAATATGTTTACAATATGATTCATATTTTTGTATGTATAATTCACTTTATGAAAGCTAATAATTTGATACGAGTTTCATATTTTTGTTAGGGAATATTAAATAGTTCTGTTTCATTCAAGATGGACTTGTCACCTTTTGGCATTAAGGGCACTCATTGTAGTAGTTGTATAGTGCGCAGAGAAGTTATGTCATCAATAAAGTTATAACGTAGAGTACTGATAGATATAGCTACAGTTGTCGATAAATTTTTAAAAAGATGTCTGTTCTCTTCTATTTTAAAATTGTTAATTACGTACAACTCACCTTTTAGTTTATCGTGTGCTAGTGCCCTCTGAAAGTGTTCCTCCACTTCGGACGCGGCATCCCCTTGGTAATGAGTGAAAACTACGCAATTTGGGTTCAAGTATTGCGCTCTGCTTTCACTGTCGTCTGAATCTTCCGCGGCGGTACCAGTACCTACGACGGCTACAAACAAATTAACAAGGCTAAATTCGTCAAAACTGCGGAGCTATAGCTTAATTTTGTTAACTGTTATTTATTTGTAAAAATATTATTCAGTACCATTCCCGATCAGTACCAAACTTGAACTGAATAATTTAAGGGACAGAAATATTAATCATAAAACAATAGCAGAGTTGATCATTCCTCATTCATTTTGAACTGAAATTTCATTAAAATTATACTACATGAATATATATTGCTTTTCTTTAATATTGTCTTACAATCTCCAATATTGCTCATGGTGTAAATTGTGCTTGTAAAAATTGCCAGTACTAAAAATCATTAAATTACTCTCGAAATTGATTAAATATATCGACTTACCGTCCGTCGATCTGTCATCGTCTAACGTTTTCGATAGTTGTGACGCAGATGACCCAAGTCGGGGTTTAGTTGTTCTTGGCGATGCTGGACTGGGTGCTGAACCGACGGAACCGGCACTGCTAGGTTGCCCTTGCGGCACACTTCCGTCAGTTCCACAAATTTCGAGACCCGCCGCTTCAAATGATCTTTGGTGGACATTCAACTGCAAGGAGAATACAGCTTATTATTACATGAGACATTTGTACCTTCAACATGTATGCTATAAAGTTTAACTTATAGACGTAACTAACTTATGTCTACTAATTAGTGGGCATAATTCACTGGTATAACGTTATAACTAAAGAGAAAGTTGAAATATGATGCATTATTCGCCTTCAACAATCTTTGACTGTACAAATTATAATTTGACTTGAATTAAAAATTCAAGTAAAGATCGTCTCATATTTTTGTACCATGCTAATTTTAAGTAAATTATGTTCAGAATAAAACTTATTAAAACAATCGAAATATAAACGTATAATAAAATACATCAAAATGAAAACATTTGACAAAATTTAAAGATTCCTATATTGTCGACGTAAATATCGAAATCGTATTCTTCAATGTTTACTTCTTGTTTACCAGATGTCTCTCCAGAAGTCCAATACGCAAATTTGCGATTGAACTTACACGTATTTGATTGAGTGTTTACACGTATCGTGATTAAGATAATCACATTTGAATAGAATTTGTGTCATTGCTTTCGTATACTCGAATAAATTTCGTAACATCCTTTCACTCACGGAGTTTTCGCACGCTTCTGCAATGGAGTGTCACGTACGAACCTTGTGATATTTATAATTATCAGAGTTCGACTAAGCAATAACTTTGTCAACTTAAAATGCACACCCGTAGTATTTATGCAACGTGTAGCAATAACTCGTGAAGCAACGAAGAAAATTTATATTACATTTCGTTTACTGAATATACATTTTTCATCCGTCCACCATTTAGCAAAACATTATTGACGACAACCATTGACGTCTTGAATTATCGCGACTGCAAAGAACAGAGATAATATGCTTAACTTGGTGGGTGTTCAGTTAAAAACAAGTTTTCCTAAGGAAATTGTTACAGGGGAGGGGAAAACGACTTCCACTCATCGGTTTCTGAGTTTTATTAGATTTTGAGGTTTGGACATGATTTAAAAATTTGAAAATCCAAGACTTAGAAATGTAGGAATTTGAGGTTCGAGGATTTAAGAATCTTCAAACTTATAATTAGATAAATTGAGATTCTACCCAAGAAATTTAAAAATTTAGAAAATCGTAAATTAGAATCTTTGAAAGTTGCCAAGTCGAAAAAAACTACCCTTAACCAAAGTAAGCCATCGCTGCACCCGAGTTAACCGACCCGTACCTAACTGTGATTGAAGCCTTATGCAACAAGAAAGGATTGTGTTCCCATTTATCAAAAGTGTTAATCGTTACACCAACCACGATTTCTCAACTAGCCGCGTGTACCACTTAGCGTAGTGTCATTGTCGAAGTTAGTAATCGATACTTGAAACTATTACAAGCTCGAGTGGCAACGATAGGTATCGATGTCCGTCGAGGCCAAGCCAAAATATCGCAGGCTCAACAAGATCGCGAGCAACGAAATGCCTGTCGATGATACGCTTCGATATGCATCTGCAGCGTCGCGGATAATTCCAAGGATTTTACCACCCTCTCCTCCCACCCTTACGATCGTCTGCACGTCACGTCGATGAATCGCGACGTCTGGGTTGACGTTTAGTAGGTAAATCGTACGAGCTACGTCCTTAGAAGAGGGGTAGCCTCCATTGAGCACATACCGACGCCAGGCGTCGGCGTCCATTGTGCCCCTACCACACCGAGCTAACTGCAAATAGCGCTAGAGCTATGCTATGCGCACTGGCATCGTCACGATCGGTCGCAATGAGACCAAATAGGACGTAATGCTCGCTATTCATTAGATCCTACGGATGCAAATGCCACGCTGGGTCATGGCATTCTGCTCGAATTTTTTCCAACGAACCGATCTGCGCCGATCGCGCGACGCCGGCCAAGCCAACTATTCGGCGACGAACGATCGAAAGATGGCAGCCGAACGGGCGTCGAGACGCCTCGACCGAGACGCTCGAGACATTCCTGCCAGATTGCGATGACTGATGCTGGACTTTTCTGGAGATGCTGTAAATGTCGGTGATATTGGCCACTTAACCCTTTACACCAGAAGGCATTACTCTCGGAAACTACTAATAAATTTTTTGGTCGATGGACCCTTTTGAAATTATTATTTTATTATCGATTACGACTGGCGTCTGTTTCATTATGCTTAACAGTCAAAATGACGGATCTTATATTTCTTATTTTCGATTATAAAAATTATTAAGCTTCTGTCAAAAATATTAACCTTCGTCGAGATTTGTCTTTGTTGAATTTATCATAGAGGATGTAGTATACTTTGTACATACATCCATACATTGTTCACGTAATCATCTTTGCTAATACGTTGTCTGCCACAGTGAAAACTGACGTATGTGGTCAGACATACACATAAAGATTATGAAGAATGCGAATACTTAATCCTACAATTTCTTCATCAATTTAAGACTCAATCACTATATCATTAAAAGCTCTCAAAACTACGTTTTCCTTTCCTATAAATAATTAATTTATAGCCAATATGGTAACCAATGATATTGGGATCAAAAGGTAAGATGTTAAGGTTATTGCACCAGCGATGAAAACAAACCTACTAAATCTCGATCCTAATTCATCCTCGTCAGACATCATGGCATCAGTCGCGAGCGTAGACAATTAATGTCAATTGCGATCCATGTTGTCACCATACCTCGATCAATTTCGCAGAATCCTGGACGGAAACCGTTAGGTTTCATCCTGTTCGAAAACGGAACATTACGCGTCTCGTTGACGATTAATTCCGCGCGCATAATCCGCCTCGCGGTTATTCAAGGAACTCGGAGGACGCGAACGTTTCGAACGGAAACCGGCCAAGCACGCCAACGGCCACATAATTTTAACTAGCGTCTTCGTTGGCCACCGGCTGTCGAGAGCTGTTCGCATCGTCTTCGCGAGTCGAAGGTCGATAGATTGACGAGCGATCGAAAGTGAACGGCGGTGGGCATACAGGCTAACAGGGATCGAAACGATCTTGATGCATTACTCACCACGCGATCGCGATGATGGCCAACTGGGAGAAATACGACCGCGTAAATGCCGGCACGCTTTAAATGACGATGCTGAGGATTTCCCGTGTCACATCGAGGTCATGCGTTCCCGATGCGACTTCCGGGCGAGATTATCCGAAGAATATTATCAGAACATTTTCTAGTATATTCAAATATACGGAAGCCTTTTGGTTAAGAATAAAATAGACTATCTCATTAGGATAGACACTCCTAGACCACTCACTAAATTTAAGAAATGTATCAACTACATTACAAACTCTCACATCAAAAGTGTCAACTAAAGCAGCACTATCATAAGTATTTACAGTACTAAAATGAATCTACCACTTCTACCATTGCATTTACCTTAACAACTTCAATAAATGCGAAAATTAAATTAAAATATTGCGGTAATGAGTTATAGTGGCCTTTAGTACCGAAAGGGTTGAAAATGTTAAAGCAAAATGAACAGCATCTCGTACCGCGTCTATTGTCTCAAAGTTTTGAGTCGTTCGAGGTTACCAAACACCGCGGTTTCTTGATTCACCGGTATTCGACCATAATTCATGCACACCGATCTGTCCGACAGATTTATTTGCGATAGTTCCTGCAACAATAATGGCTACCGGCCCCGTATACGCGGCCGCGATCGCGCGTCCTTTATCATCGCGTCGAGATGGCATGCGACTCGTGCACACCGACACCCGGTTTCTTGGATCATTACGATCGTGTTTGTCGCGATCTCGAGGATCGATGTACCGACGGCACACGGCACATGGCGTTAGATAGGATACCGGGTATAATGAATATCGGTCGCAGCCCGTACTCGTCTCGCCGATTTATCTTGTCGCTAGCGTACGCGCGTACAGGGAAATCGAATTAATTTATTCCAGCCGACTTTGCGTTGATTACGAAGATAAAATAGTAATCGGAAAACGTAAATGACAGTGCAAGTATTTCCTAAGGTAATATTTATTACTCCAGTTTCTTGGCTAATTAATTATCTCTCTGGTGTAATTCGACGACTTTACTTATTACTGGTAAAATTTAGCTAGTTTATTATTATGAAGAGTATTAAAAATACTGAAATATTGCCAATGCTAGAATGTTAATTAATTATCTCTGTTTCTGATGTAATTCGATTTGGACCTTTGACTTTACTTGTTGGTGGTAAAATTTAGCTAGCTTGTTATTATAAAGAGTATTAAAAATACTGAAATATTGCCAATGCTAGAATGTGAACCATTCGAGGTCTGATAAGTACACTCGTACATTTTTCATAAGAAGCAATATGAAAGTATCTGACAACCTCAGTTTACTCCGCAGGAGGGATATATTATTCAGTTTCCGTTAAACAAAAAATGTTGCACACGTAAGGTCAAGCTTAGAAACGCTCCAATCTACAAAGAGTTAAGACTATTGCGTTGAGTTGTTCGAAGCTGTTCTCCTTGAAACTGAAACTCAGTTTCGATTTAATTTCACTTGAAGAGTTACCTTGTTATATGCAGGTATTGCGTGGAACATGCATCAGAAGTGTTCTATGTTTTTTGCTTGAGAACTGCAGTCGTATTTAGTAAAAGAATTGTTGTAAAGGTCCAAGTGACACGCGAAGTATATACAAATATCAAGTTGCACTTGCAAATGGTTCCGTTGATCTCGGTTATTATTCTTGATAAATTCTTATGCAAAAGAAATTAATTAGTTCGTACTTCCGACTTTCAACATTTCCAAGGTACGTCATAATTATAAGTATCACGCAATAGTATCGAATATAACAAAATATGTTCAAGCAGGTTTGCGTTGATTATTTCTACTTGGAGTGGTAAAGTTTAGAAAATATTGCAGTATATTTTGTAACAGTATTTCTATTTGACATCAATTTTTACTGATATAAACATAATAATAAAATAAATAATCTTTTTCATGAAATTATGCAACGTATGCAATTATAAACACTATGTGTTATACGATCATAAATGTCAATAATATTCAGTTAACATATGTCGAGT